GAATTTGCATAGGATAAACATATATACAGATGTGCACTTACAATATAATGTTTACATAAGAAGTATTTAAATGCAATTGTGATAACATGTGTGTTAGGTATGAAGACATACACATCTTCGGCCGTTCCACCTAAAGCTCCGACGGGAGACCAGCACCTGAGATAGAAGCTAAACCAAGGTGAGTGTGCTATTTCACATATCTAGTTCATATAGTAAGATTACTTGTTATCAAATTATTACTGTATGAAGAAGTGTTGATGAAAGGGAAAAATATTGTCTGTGTGATGGATTATACCTATGTGGCAGTTACTGTATGTGTGACGAATCATGCCTATGTGGCAAACTATTGTCTGTGTCATGAATCATGCTTATGTGGCGAGTACGGTCTGTGTGACGATTATTGTTTGTGTGACGAGAAAATGTTTATGTAGCAAATATTGTCGAGTGATGACTTATGCTTGTGTGGTGGATATTACCTATGTAATGGAATAAGCTTTATGGCAACGATGACTTTGTTGATGAAGATAACCTATATAAGTTTATGTTAGTTGCTCAAATGGGGTGTTTATTTGGTGGTTTCACTTTTATGAAGTTAGGATGATATTCAAATTAGAAGAATAATATTTCAGCATTGTAACTTTGTATGTTGTTTTTCCTGAGCTTTTCATGCTCACCTTTTTGTGGTGTAATGTTTCAAGAGTCCAATGCCATGAGTGGAGTCCACTGCCGAGTCTAGGAGGTCGTGGGGTTGTCACCTTGGAGTCTTTTGTATTTTCCTTTTGGTTGTAGCATTTTGGAATTTGTAGTTTGTAAATGAATCTGGTGGTCTATAAGTATGTGTGACGTAGCAGAGTGCTGCTCACCTAACTTGTTTCTAAACTTAAACTCTCTTTTGACTATCTCAACGATTATAAAGATGCAGGTTTTTTCGTGTATGTACCCAGGTTACAAGGTTTGGTTGAAAATATTCGAGATTCTATTTTTAATTAACAAACAAAAGTACACCCCCGAGTTGGGGCGTTACATATGGTGTGTCCACTGGTCGCTGTTCTTTTGTATGTATGGAGAATTGTCGGAGAAAACAAAGAAGAAGAGGTCTCATCTTATCTGTAGGGCAAAATTGCCCCAAAAAGTAACTTTAATAATTTTTTATTGTATTGAGTTATTTAGAAAACCATCCGGTTCACCGATTTTGGCCAAAACCGACTAATTTAGATGTTCTCCAATGGTTCAATTACACCAACAGTCTGTTAAGTAAATCGGACCGATTAAGAGCCCCATTCACCGGTTTGACCGGCTGATCCAGTTTTGTTCACACTGGATCGGAGGCCACCGAGTAGGATATGACTCAGCCGAGTCACTGCTTAGCAACCCAACAGAATTGGAAAAACAAGGCACATAGCAAATTGGTATAAGGTAGAAATGAAATTGTCATGCAATACTTTTTCCACGTACAACTAGGTCATATTCCAAGATGGGCCAAAAGCAAGAAAAACCCAATAAATGCATCCTTAAAAAGATATAATTTAGTTTAAATTGTTGTTTTCAAAAGTGAACAAATTCTACAAAAATAGAACAGCTGAAACAATCACTGTTGCAATGTCTCACAAGTCCGAAGAATTAACTTTCTGGGAGAACACATGGACAGAGCAACAACTCTAAGGTATAGAAGAGTGTGATCGCAAGATAAACAACCTGGTACACAAAGTAATTCCACATTACTACGTTCGTGTAAAAAAATTTCCCTTTCTAAAGGAGCTAGGAACAAAATATATCCTGGTTAAGAATTGAGTAAATAACAAATCAAATAACCACACAAAACTAAACTAAGCCTTATGTCCCAATCATTTGTGGTCGGCTATATCAATCCGTATTCGCCATTCATTTCGATCATACACTATACGCTCATTTAAGTTAAATATTTTCTTATTACTTTGTTCAATGTTAATTTAGGTTTACCCCTACTTCTAGTACTATTAAGAGAGATTATCTCACTTTTTCGAACCAGTGCCTCTATCGGACTCCGTTGAACATAACCAAACCATCTCAATCTATTTGCTCTTTACTTATCCTCAATTGGAGCTATTTCTACCATTTCTCTAATACGGTCATTTCTTATTCTATCATTTCTAGTTTTTCCACACATCTACCTTAGCATTCTCATTTCCGCTACACTCATTTTATCACTATGTTGTTTCCTAGTTATCCAACATTCTGTCTCATACAACATTGTTGTCCTTATAGCTGTTCGATAAAACTTACCTTTTAATTTTATTGGTATTCTCTTATCACATAATATGTCATAGGCTTTCCTCCACTTAAGCCAACCGGCGTTGATTCTATAAATCACCTCATCTCCAATCTCTCCATTATTTTTAATGATCGATCCTAGATGTCTAAATTGTGTACTCGTTGGTATTTCTTAATTTTTAATCTTAACTTTTTCACTATATCTATTTCTTTTATTACTAAAATTGCATTGCATATATTCAGTTTTACTCCTACTTATTTTAAACTCTTTCGACTCGAGTATCTGTCTCCAAATTTTTAACTTATTGTTAATGCCCCTTCGAGTTTCATTTACTAATACAAAATCATTTGCAAATAGCATATACCATGGAACATCATCTTGAATGGACCTAGTGAGTTCATCCATAATTAGGACGAATAGGTATAGACTTAGGGTTGATACTTGGTGTAATCAAAAATTCTTTACTTTCTCCCACGGAAGAGCAAATTGTAGTCATAGTCCCCTCATATATGTTATCACCTCAATATACCTAATTATCACTCTTTTTTCTTAAACACCCTTCATATTATATTTCTATGTATTTTATCATATGCCTTTTCTAGATCTATAAATACCATATGAAAATTTTTCTTCATCTCTCTATACTTTTCTACGAGTGTCCTCAATAAATATATAGCCTCTATAGTTGATCTACTCGACATAAACCCAAACTTATTTTCCGACACTGTAGTCTCAACTCTTAGACGCCGTTCAATGACTCTTTCCCATAATTTCATTGTATGACTCATCAATTTTATCCCTTTATAATTATTACAATTTTGAATATCTCCTTTATTTTTATACATAGGTACTAAAATACTCTTTTCTCCATTCATCGGGCATTTTCTTATTAGCAATAATTCTATTAAATAATTTTATTAACCACGACACCCCCTCATTCCCTAAGTACTTCCAAACATCAATTGGAATTTCATCTGATCCTAAAGTCTTGACTAATTTCATTTTCTTCAATACAAACTCTATCACCGAATTCTTTATTCTACGAAAGAAAATTTCATAAATCCTACCATTTTCTATCTCTTCTAGGTTTCCTAAGTGATTTTTGTTTAATAGTTTCTCAAAATAGTCTTTCCCCATCCTCGCCCTTGATACACTTAACTTGATTAAAGTCTCTTGTTTTCCTTTCTCTAATTTTAGCTAGTTTGTAGATGTTTTTTTCTCCCTCTTTACTATCTAGTTTTTCGCACAACTTGTCATAAGCTTTTAATTTAGCATCTCTAACTATCATATCCACCTCCTTGTTAACTAATTTATATCTTTGAAAGTTTTATCTATTTCTATCATTTTGCCATCTCTTAAAAGATTCTTTTTTTACTTTAACTACCTCTTGTACGTCGTCATTCAATTACCAAGTTTCTTTTTCCACAAGCCCTCTACCCTTTGACTCCCCAAGAACCTCACAAAATTTTCCTAATGTCTTCTATCATCCTACCCCACATAACGTTAAGTCTAATCCTCTAAGTTCCATAAAGCCTCTTTAAGCATTCTACTCATAAATAGTACTAGTTTCTCATCTTTTAAATTCCACCATCTCATTCTTGTTTTTCTAATGCTTCTCCGTACTCTATGTTGCCCTTTAATATATAAATCTAAAATTATTAGCCTATGTTGAGATGTTAAACTTTCTCCCGGGATAACCTTACAATCTTTACATGTTAATCGGTCCGTTCTTCTACTTAAGAAGTAATCTACTTGGCTTTTGTTTGGTCCGCTCTTAAAGGTTATTAGATGTTCTTCTCGCTTTCTAAACAAAGTGTTTGCCACTAAAAGGGCATATGCCATTGCAAGAGACATTCCACACTACTAAAATCAAAAGACTAATAGAATCAATTGATGTTGAACAAAATGAATGTCCATACCAGGCTATGTCTAGTTGGTTGCAGAAAATTCTTCGATGAAAAAGTACTTCCCCACTATTGCATCACAAGCATTTGAAGAAAACAATGATCATTGACTATGTCTGGCAGTTAAACCGTGTCTGTTACCACTTAGTTTGGATAACATCGTGCCATGACCAATGACCAAAAATACCACCAACAAGATTTTGACAAAGGTGACTAAATATCTATTTCTTAGATAAATAGGCACCAATCAATAGGATATTATAAAACAAAGGAGAGTGTTGCGCAAACAACATATTCTGATTATAAGATATGTAAGTGGTGACAACTAAATATGCACTCTACACTCAGAACCTATTGTTAATAAAACATATAAATTTAATAATACAAGTAACTTAAACCCTGAACATTAAAATGTGCATTATCTGTTTTCAATAGCCAATCACAACATGCTTTTGCTAGAGCTATAAGAATAAAAAGGTGTGTACAAGGTTCTTGCCTCTAGCAAAGTCCAAGAACAGTAAGTTTCAGGCAACTAGAATATCATTTGCTATCCCTTAGAGGAAAGATGTTTAGATTATGCATAATGTTTCTTCTTAACTGGAGCCTTTGAAATTAATTGTGAATCCCCCAAACAGCTAGAAAATGCAAATACAAAATCCAAACTAGTTGAAAGGGGAAAAAACGGTAAACTTAAAAAAAATACTTCTTCATTCATCTAAATACACAACATTCCAGCTAAATCCATATGAAATCATTGAGAAGATAAATTTTTCAACATCAGCATTATGTTCTTTCATAATTGAATGAAATAAGGCAGTCTATGAGTGTTCGGTTTTCAAGTAGCACTAAGTGAACGATAAATATTTGGTAAGGGAATAAACCTCGAGTTCCATGGCAGTGAACCCAAATCCAGAATCACCTTCAACAGCAACCAGAAGCCGAGGAGAAGCCACTGCCGCAGCAATGCAATATCCCAGACCAGTCCCCCAAGTTCCATCATCCAACCTGCTCCTCGGCTCCGTAACACAGCCCCGACAAACATCCATTGTGTTCAACCCCTCAGACACCAATATGGGAGCAGGACTACCAAATCCCAAAATTGCATCACTAATTATCCTCATTGGTGTCATAAAATTGACCTACACAACACCGTTAGCCAACTATGCCTCCATTCTTGACACTTTTTGCTTAGCCTTCTTCGCTATCGTCTCAACCCAATGATGATTCTTCCCCAAACAAAAAGGTCACATTAATCTCCTTATTAATCATCTCCACAACCCTTTTCACATCCTCAACCAATCCCGGACTTGGTTTCCTCAAGACAATCTCTTCCTTACAAACATCAACTAACACAAAATTCACATCCTTAGCCACTTTGGAGGTTCCCCAAAATGCAACCACCAATTAAGCCTTGCACCAACCACCAATGCAACGTCACATTTCCCAATTGCCAGTTAACCTCGCCACCTTTGCATCTAGCTCATATGCACCGCGCAACAAGCCCTTTTTCGTTGGCGTTGGTAAAAATGGAATTCCATTACTTTCGACCGACTTTTTTTGGCTTAATGGCAACGCCCAGCAATGGCAACGCCTTTCCAAACACAATCAACAGCCCCTCTGCCTTTCTCAACATCGAAAATGCCTTTTCAATCTCCGAATGTTCGACACTTCCCATCACTTCTTCCTCTTCATTTCTACAATTTGGAGCATCAGTTATCAATTTCTCGGCCACCAATTCAATAACAGTTGGGTGAAGCACATCGGAGGGCAAGTCCAAATAAAACCCATTAGGTCGGCCCAATTTTCCCTAGTGAATAACATCGAAAACACAATTAGGGATAAGTTTGATATCAACAGCTTTTGTGGGAAATTCCCAAGAGTGTTTAACCACTGCGGTTTGATTGAACTCTTGAAAGTCATCACAGCCAAAGTCTTTTTGGTCGCACGCTCTGGAGATCATGAGTCATGACCAAGGGCCAAGCATTAATGCTAGCATTGGAGAGAACTGCGAGGCCATGGACGTAGCCGAGGTCGTAGACGGCGAGGAGGATTCCCGACCAGCCGGTGAGATATCCGTAAGCTAAGGCGACGTAACTGATGGATTGCTCCTTGTGCAAGGCGATGAATCAGATTCCAAGGGTGATAGAGCGGTTGGCGAGGGAGGTGACCGGTATTTCAATGACACCGAACATGCAGTCCACGTCGGCACGTGCCAGGGAAATTGCCATCAGGGAATTGTTGTTGATTAGGGTTTGTGATCAGAGTCAGTGTTTGCCATAGGATCGGGGGGAGCCAAAAAATAATCCTCGGGTTGGGCTACAACTTGGGAGGGTTGGGAGGCTAACCCAAGCCCAAGTTATAAAAGTCTTAACTCGAGCCCAACCCGAACCCGACTTCAACTTGAAGCACCTCAACCCGAGTAATGCTCGCTCGGATTAAACTCAAGTTGAGCCCAAATTATTAAATAGGATTCAATTTTCAGGTTAAATTTGGGTTTTTATATGTATTTATGCCTTTAATTCTTTTATTAAACTCACATAGGCGCAATTAAACCAAACCCATTAAAGGAACAAGCCACATGGAGTTTGCATTCTTTATATACAAGAGGGAGAGACTTTTTTTGTGTGCAACTAATGTGGGATTTTAACATATTTAATGCTTAAATTACACACATATGTGGCCCTTTATATATGTACTTGTAGTAACCTGTGCCTAAAGGCACAATGCAATGTGAATGGTTTTAAGAGGGATGTTGGTAGCCGTTGGATGAATTTATTTGAAACTATCAAATGGGCTTATTGAAGTCTGTCCTGTTTTATATTATAGATTTTTCTAATACTTACATAAGACAAATTTTTAATGCTTAAATAAAAACTCAGGTTGAACCCTATTTTTAGCAATTTGGTCCGAGCTTGGGTTGAGCCCGTGAACCCGAAGTCTCAACCTGAGCCCAACCGAATTGAGGATTTTTTGCCCAAGCCCAACCCAAGTTTTAAAAAAGTAAACCCAAGTACTGATTTTTCTGGGTTTGAGTACAGGTTGGATACGTTAGCTCGCCCAAGGTACACCCTTATCCTCAGGTGTACACACATTTATTTTTATTTACATCAAATTCTAAAATTTATTAAACAAAAAAGAGTTAATTACAAATTACCCCCTTCATGTTTGGGTCATGTGCAATAAACTCTCTTTGGTTACAATTTTAACAATCTACCCCCTTAAATTTTTCCAGAGATAAAAGGAACAAATTGGGTGGATGAAAAATGTGAATCACTAAATTACCCTTCAAAACCCTATCTGCATCTCATGGATATAGACGGTAGAGGGGACGACTGCCATTAGAAAATTTTCTTTGATAAAATAATTGTGAAGTAATCTTTACAAGTTTAAGGAGTTCATCCCCTCAAGACCATTTTATGTTGTGCAGTATAAAAACTTTTACCTAGAAAAAAAACATAAGAAGCTTTGCATACCAAAATAATACTTCGCTCTCCAGTCTCAACAACTTTTTTCCACCTCTCATGAGCACCAAATCTGAATGATTTTCCAAGCAGTCACTACAGCAAGGATTGATGGCTATAGGCATCAAGCACTGTTAATGCAATGACATTAATATAAGCTAAGACATGAATTATGTATGGCCATTCATCTTGGAACGCAATGCCTTCACAACCTGAAGCATGAGGTTGTCTCAAATATCAACAATTTTTTTGTATGATTTGAGCGACGTGGAGTCCGTCAGGAGAATTGTTTCTCAACCTTTGTTCAGACTCTTATAATCCCAAACATTGAATCCATGAGATACAGAAAGGTTTGTTTTAGGGGGAAAGGGTGGTGTGCAAAAGAGATAAGTTAGGGTTTGTTCCGGGGAAAAATTTTTAACTTTAGAAATGTATACTAAACTATGCCATTTTTTGGGAGCAACATTTGTTGTGCAAACTTATTAAAAACCGTGTCATTATTTCTAACAACACTGTGTGTTATCTTTTCTTCACAGCAAAAGAGCTGCACCCAACTCCCAGACCACCAATCCATCCACTCTTCGTCCCTCTATCAACAATTTGTCACAGTTGCAATCTTACCTCAACATCTACCCTAACCTGAGTTCCCAACCTTCTCAACCTCCCCACAAAACTCAACTCTCATAAAGCCCAATTCTTAAAACCTCCAAATCAACAAGCCAATTAACAACAAAAAAAAAGGGGAAAACTACAAATTAAAAAGAATGGTAGAGCAAACAAATCAAAGAAAGTTCCCCCATAGATCACAGTGGGTTTGGATGGTTTTAATGGTTCTCTCTCTCTCTCTCTCTCTCTAAAGCGCTCTTCCTCTATCAATGACAATCGATGTTTGGAGGGGAAGGGGGTTGCAGGGTCTCGTGTGATGGGGTGCATATGTGTGTGTTGGTGTGGTTGCCAACACCATGATTTTGTGATAGAAAGGGAGGGGTTTTGTCGGGGGTTGTTTAAGGTGATGGTTTCCATCGAAAGGAGGAGGGGGTTTACTGAGGGATTGTGGTTTGGAAATTTGGTTTTCTCTAGAGAAATCAAGCAAGGGTTTTTTGTGAAAGGAGGTGGATTTTCGTAGAGGTGAAGGGGAAATAGTGTCGGATAAGGATTAGGCGGTGGTGTTGCCGGTTCAAGATAGGGAATGGAGATTGGTTGGTAAGAGTTTGTGGGATGTAAGATGACATGCCTAACGATAAATGAGAAGAATTTTGACCCAAAAAATTTGAGAGAGGAAGTTTAATTTCGTCTTTAAATGGGATTTTGGAGCACATTAAATTTTTTTTTTTATAAGAAACAAACTTTTCATTGATAAGAACCAAAAAAAAATGCAAGAAAGGGTGAAGTAGTCCAACCCTTAGACACAAAAAATGAGCACAAAAAAAAAAAAACAAACAGTCATCAAAAGAAAATTATCCCCCACACGATGTCATCCAATTTGAAGTAATACCAAAAAGAGAGATACGTTCAAACTCCTTTGTAACGGAGACCCAAAAAGATGCAAAGAAATAAAATCAATCCCACGTCCCTTCCTTCATATCTTCTTTATCTTCAAAAATTTTAGCATTTCTTTCCATCCAAATGACCCACACAATTCCAAAGAACACCACCACCCAAACTTTTATATTCAATCGACAACATCAAGGAGATTGAATGCGAGGCAGCCCACCAAACTCCCATCATCTTGAATAATTTGTTCCATAGGAATAATACAGTAGCATAATGTAAAAATAAATGTTCCACACTCTCACAACTTGCTCTACACATAACACACCATTGTGAGCACAAATTAGTGTAAGACCTCCTCCTTTGTAACATGTTAAACGTATTAACCTTACCGTGAGAAATCACCCCATGCACACACTTGCACTTTTGGTGGCACCTTAACCTGACATGAGAAAGAACCCGAAGGGTCAATGATCCAACATCTTTTATCCAAAGAATTATGATTCAAAGTGATAGGATTAAGCAAAGAAAGAAGAAAAACTAACTCCGAAGACTATAGCATTTAAATTTCTACGAAAACCAAAGTTCCAAGCAATTGGATTAGAATCCGACCTAGCCAACGAATCAACACTATGATCATGATTAGAAAAAGTCTATATAAATGAGGAAATGAACTTGAGAATGATAACTCTCTCATCCAAATATCCTTCCAAAAATGAATTCTCAACCAATTGTCCACATTGAACTTAACCCATTGAGCAAAATAAGGTAACCCCTGAGAAATGAATTTCCAAGGATTTCGGTAACCCAATCAACCCCATTAGCATCCCACCCATTAGAGTGTAAGCCGTACTTACTTTTAATAACCAAATGCCATAGCAAATTTTGCTCCAAAGGAAATCTCCGTAGCATTTTACCGACCAAAGCCTCATTTCTAGCCACCAAGTTTCCCACCAAAAGTCCCCCTTTTGATTTTGGCCTAGACACCACCTACCAACAAATGAGGTGATCCTTTTTCCCCTCCTCCATTCCTTCCCATAAAAAATCTCTCATCATTCCCTCAATCATCTTTGACACCTCACATGGCATCTTGAAGAGAAACAAAAAGTATATAGGAATACTTGTCAATAAAGAGTGANTAAAAAATATCTCATCATTCCCTCAATCATCTTTGACACCTCACATGGCATCTTGAAGAGAAACAAAAAATATATAGGAATGCTTGTCAATAAAGAGTAAACCAATGTAACTCTACCTCCTCTAGAAATGTAAGCCTTCTTCTACCCATCTAACTTTTTTCCTACTTTGTGAATAACTGGATCCCAAAAAAGAGTCAGACAATGGATTACCACCTAAAGGCAAACCCAAGTACTTAAGAGGCCACACTCCAACTGAACATCACAAGACAAATGCCAACCTATCCAACTTATCCTAGCTAGAGTTAACTGAATTCCAACAATCAAACTTTTCTCCATTTTAACTTTAAGGCCAGAAACAAAACCAAAAACATCAATAATCTTTTTAACATTCAATAACTTCTCATCCCCCAAAGAATAAAAGATGGTGTCATCAGCGAATTGCAAATGAGAACTAGATATTCTATCTCTCCCTATCATAAAGCCCTCAACCAAGTGACTCTCCTTGGCCCTCATCACAAGTCTACTCAATCCATCCACCACTAAAGTAAACAAAAATGGCAAAAGAGGATCACTGTATCTAAGACCCTTAGATACTTTTGAACTTACCCCTAGGCTTACCGTTCAACATGACTAAGAAATTCATGGATTGCAAACATCCTTGAATTCACCTTCTCCATCTCAACGCAAAGCCTATGGATTCCAAAACAAAGTCCAAGATTCCAATCCACATGATCATAAGTCTTCTCAAAGTCAATTTTGAACACAATACCCTCCAATCTTCTAGCCCTATAATCCTCTGCCACCTCATTGGCCACTAAAGCCACATCCAAAATCTATCTTCCTTTAATAAAAGCACCTTGATACCCTGAAATGGTGTCACTCAACCCTTCCCTAAGTGTTAGTGATAACACTTTTGCAATGATTTTGTCCTAACTTGTAACGAGACTTATTGGCCTGAAATCCTTAATCTTCAAGGAATTCTCTTTTTTCGAGATTAAGCAAATGAATGTAGCATCTATAATTGCATTAATCATCCCCATTATTGAAAAATTCCGTAAAAATTCTCACCAAATCATCTTTCACCACATCCCAACATTCCTAAAATAAAACCATAGTGAACCCATCTGGCCCAGAGCT